CAACTTCTTTGAACTTTACATCTTAGTCCCATTCTTAATCTATATGTCATTGGTTTGAGGGTTTATAGGTTGCTCAGCTAACCAAAAATCAATGACCTGCATAGCAAATAAACTAAAAAAATTGACAAGAAAAGGCAAGAATTTCATCTTCTAATGCTATGGATGCAAGTTACATATTATCACCAATGGCATAGAAAAGACACACTAAACCTATCTCCAATCAAAATGATATTTAGACTCAATAAAGGATCAATAAATAGAGTTATCTCAGCCAACAAAGATGTCCCGTTGATGCTATAAGTCAGGAAATACATCAAAAACACAGGAATTTTGTGAAAAAGAACAAAATCTTCCTCAAGCTTGCTTAAACATTGTCCCCTTGTAGGTAATCTTAACTCAAGAAATACATCAAACAGTTGGTGGGCATGAAAAATGTTTAATTTCTTATAACTAGTTCTAACTATTCTTCCTTCAGTCAAATCAACCAAATTAACCAAAAAGCATACATCCACAAATTTCACAAGCAAAACTTAGCAATTGCAAATTATTAATTAAAAATAACTATACCCAAGCAAGAGAAAATAATTAGTTTCACCAAGAAACTTAGCAATTGCAATCTCAAATTGCAATAGCTATGACTGCTGAGTCTCTACAGATGCTGTGAAGAGAAGAATATGGTAGCTGTGTTCAAAAATAAAATTAGAAAGAAAAAAAAATGATAAAGGGAAAAAGATGCTAAAGCAAGGGCTGGGGAGATGCCGAAGAAAAAAGAGTGCTGAGAACTTTATTTTGAAAAGATTTGCCCGTGAGTTAAATTGGCCGTGAGTTAATTTAGTTTTGCCATTTGTTTTCCCTCCGTTATTTGATTGATGAGGTGTTAAAAGAAAAGGGTGATGTGGGGGTTTTTAATTGGACCGGGATACCGCTGACATGGTATCCCGATGATACCCCAGACTTTCTCCTCTGGAGAAGATGGAGGTTGTTGATTCCAATTTCCAACGGTTCATTTGTGCGCACTGCGCAGTATATGGGTGGATGCTTCTGGACAACACAGATGCCGGGATGCTTCTGAACATGTGTATATCGATTTTACCTAGTTATATTTTTAAATTTTAAAACTGTTATTATAAATATTTTATTTTCATTTTAATGAAAAATTAATAAATTTTGTTAATACAAGAATTAAAATTTTTAAATTTTTAAATTTAAAAGTTATAAATTTTATAATGTAAAATAAAAAGCAAAAACCTTCAAATTTATTAAATTGGGGTTAATTGTATGCTTTTTTTTTTTGGTAATATAATTGTATGTTTTTAGGCGTGGTTGATTCCAATATTTCAATTGTGCGCATTATATGGGTGGATGCTTCTGGACAACACAGATGCGGGTACGCTTTCTTTTTCTGATTTCTTGGCATAAGTGGTTGCTTCGGAGTGGTTTTAGTTTGTCAATCGAGTCCTGATATGTTTGCTCTGAGTAACCCCTTTTCTTCCTGATGAGGAAACTCAAGATGGGTACCTTGTTATTGTAGGAATAATGATGAAAGTAGGAGGCTTTCTTAACTTAATATGGAAAACTAGGAAGGCCTTTCATGTCATGTTTCTTCATTCACCATATGGAACAATAGTTGTTGTGATTTTTGTTCAACGGTTTCCTTATATAGTTGGTCGGTTCATCTGGATTGGATGAAATTAATTTTTAAGAGTTTTTTCCCCGTTAATTTTTGATACATTTCAGGTTGTTCCAGCAAAACGCTTCAATGATGTTGCGAAGAAGAATGGTGTTGATTTGACTTTCCCATGTAGGGGATGTCTTCTCTTGTTGATGGTTCAGCTGATGAGACTAATCTCATTGGGACGGGCGAGATCAGACTGATACCCGATCTATCCACTAGAAGGAACATTCCATGCCATGGTACTGTGTTTTTGAGACATAAATGAGATAAACTGGAACATATAATATGTTGCATTAGCCTCTTTTGTATGTTCTGCTCTGCATCAATATTCTTTGTTCTGTATTTCTGTTATCAGATAATTTAAGAGTGGAGAACCAAAGAGAAAATTTTGACTGTTTCATGCCCGACATAAGTATGGAACAGTACATAATGGAGTATAGCTAATTTGGCTATTTTATGCTTTTAATATGCTGATTTAAGTGCATGTTAAGTTGTGGTCTGCTTATCCTGCGGAAAGAACAAGAGATATGGTAGCCTTTGGTTGCTCAAGTCTGGGATGAAGAGAAGCCCTGGCAAGTGGCAATTGATCAGTTGAAGAAATAAGGTGATCAGATAGTGCTTTGGTGTTTGTAAAACACAATGTGGCCAGAGGAGTAAGAATCATCAACACTGGTATTAGGTAGACTTTTTCTGTCCATATCTCTTCTCTTTTTGGTGTTTATAAAAAAATTGAT